TCAGTGTATGCCCAATCCATCTCCACTCCCTTCTTCTTCTGCATATTTGTTGGGCGATGGGTTCTTGGTTGGTTTGTTGCCAGACCAGAGTTCCTTGTAGCTTATTCTTTCTGGTCATGTGACCTTCAGTATCGAGAGTAGGCAGCTGTTGGTGGATGTCTGTAGTTTGTTGGGGATGCTTTTCGTAACGCGCCAAGTTTCTGAACCATCTCATAGAAGCACTGACTTGACTTACATTGGTGTTGAAAATCCGGATCTTGTTCTTTATGCTAAGTACAGTGCAGTGCAGTAGATCTCTACACTGGTTTCAGATTAGTGAAGGTCTGTCTTGCTGTCTTTCCGATCCTGGCTTTGACGTTCTCATCTGTGCCTGTGTCGCCTGTAGTTGAAACGATGCTGCCTAGGTAGGTGAGAGAGACAACTTCCTTTAGGTTTCTACCGTTCATTGTGATTGATGCTTGTTGTTGTTGTTGTTGGTTGGTGGGTATCTTCATCGCCTCTCCCTTGTCTACATTCACTTGAAGTCCCGTCTTCGCTGCCCTTCCTCTTCTGTCAACTTGTTGGTTTTTGCCTGTAGATCTTCGAGTTTGTGCGACATTACACAGACATAAATCATCATCGGCGAAATCCAAATCTTCTAGGGTCTTTTCATTGGTCCAACTAGCGTATGCCTATCTTCTCGCTCCTCACGGTTTGTTGCATCATGCAGTCGATCACAATCAGGAAGATGATCAGTGATAGTATGTGGCAGCCTTGTCTCACTCCTGTCTTCACCTCGAAGGCATCACTGAGCTAGCCATTGTGAATTACTTGGCATGTGGCGTCATCATATGGTTGTTGAATGAGGTTGATAAAGGTATGTGTCACCAGGACCTTAGTGTTGAAGCAGTTTCCAAATTACTTGTCGGTCGACGCTGTCGAATGCCTGCCTTTTCAAAGTCGATGAAGTTGAAGTGAGGTAGAGGGTTGACTGCCATTCAATACTCTGCTATATGATGATGAGTAGCGTAACGTTGCAATTTGGTCCACATATGATTTGTACTTCCTAAATCCAGCCAGCCTGTTCGGGTCGTAGTTTTGAATCCAGTGCATCCTTTAGTCTCTCCAGGATGATGTGGCTTAATATTTTGCTTGCTCTGGGTGGACAGGAGAGTGATTCCGGGCCAGTTCCTGCAAACACTTAGTTCTCTTTCTTTTCTTTAAGAGCTTGACAACATAGCCCTTCTTCCCATCAATCGGCAGGTACCTTTCCTTCCTTCCATACCTTCTGCAATACTGGTGTGAGCATGTTCGTTGCTGTCTCTGCATCTGCTTTGAGTACTTCTGGTGGGATCCCATCTGGTCCTGCTGCTTTCCCACATTTCAGCAACTTTATGGCGTTCAAGACTTTGTCTTCATTGGTAGTTCTGTGGCTGGGCTGCTGGTGGTATTTCTAGACGAGTTGCAGGTGGTGCTGGTGGTCGATTCAACAATTTCTAAAGTGGTCAACCCATCGTTTCCTTTGTTTCTCTTCTTTCGTAATTAGATTTCCTTCATCTCCTCATATTGGTTTCATCTCTGTTGATCTCTTCCCTCCCACATAGTAACCTGGTTATTTGATACAATGTCGTCAGGTCTCTGTCTCTCCTACCTGTAGCCTGTTCTGATTCACTTGCCAGTATTTCGTAGAAGTGTCTTTTGTCTTGCCGTGCACTCTTCTTCACTTCTTTGTCCAGTGTAGCTCTTTATACATTGTACTCAGTTCCTCTTCTCCTTGTTCATTCCTGCACTGCACTGGTTTATCTTCTGCTTCACCATCCTCATCTCCCTGCTCTGTCAGCTTCCATGTGTCCGTCAAGATCCACTCCTTATCTTCTTTCTTCTTCCTTCTTAATACGGTTCTGTAGGTTTCTCTCCACATCCCTTTCAAACACCTCCAGTGTTCTTCCACGCCCGATCCTTCAGGGATGTTCCTCGATATCTCCCATTTTGTCTTGATGACTGGCTGCATTGAAGATTTCCGTCGCAGTTTCCTCCTTCAGTTTCCGAGTGTTGTAGTTGAACCGCGGTCTATCACCAGCTTCCTTGAAGGCTTTCAACTTAATTTGGAAGGTTCTTTGCACTAGATAGTGGTGTGAGTGGTGTGAAACTACATCTGCTCCCCTTCTTCATCCTGTATCCAGTTGACTGCATCTCCACTTTCTTTACATTCAGATAAAGTCGATCTGATTTTTAGTGTGTCAGGTGTCTGGTGAAATACATGTCACTGTCTTGTGAATATCCTTGTGTCTTTACACTACCTCCAATCACCAAATCGTTGAATGCATAGAAGTCTGCAAACACTTCTCCATTCTCATTCATCATTTCATCGACTGCTTCTCCACCCATGATGTATGAGTTCGCTTCCTGTGTTGTCCGCTCCCAGTTTGGCATTCATGTCGCACCACCCATTAGAATTTTGATGTCGCCAACTGCAGTGGAGTATTGTCCACTGCTGATTGTAGTTGTCTGTAGAATTCCTCCTTCTTCTCTTCATCTGCATTATTTGTTGGCGAGTAGCATTTTATGATTAAAACTTCCATTCCTTTTGAGTTGAATCTATCAACTATCATGATCCTGGAGGAGACTAGTTCCCACTACATGAAAGCCTTCGATGCTCTTGAAGGGGACATCATGATAGCCACTCCGAAACTCAGTGTGGTCGTGGTTGTCGTTTGGGTGACAATATTCGAGTAGATTATTGACTCTCCAGTTGACAGTTTCGAGAGTCCACTTCCATTCCATCTGCTTTCGCAGATTCCTAGCCTAGCACTTCTATGCTATCCATACCTTCTCATCTGAGGATGACTTGCTTTTACACCTGGATGATAAATACACTTTACAAACTTACTTCAGCAGAGGATACACTAGGAGTGTAGCCATTATTTTTTGCTGATTTTAGACTGAATACAATTCATTCAGTGTGTATGTTATAAATCAAATCAACAAATGTAATATGGAATTATCATAGGTAAACAGACAAACAGATTGAACGTGGAACCTCGTGTACACAAGTGCATCAGTTCAAGTTTCCACACTGCACAGTAGTATACAAAAAACAGGTGCATAGAAAATGACTGATATCAAAGTAGATAAAGTTGTGTGACAGAAGAAACAATTTAAGGGTAACAGATAGTGCAAATATTCAAGTTTTAGAATACACCAAAGGGTGAACACATGTGCCTCATTGTGACCGATTTTTAGCTATGTCTCCAAGAGTCCCCAACAACTTATTCATTTCTTCTCGGAAGCCTCAAACTAGACGGTTTAGATTTCCCCTACACGGCTCAGGTCAACAGTCAGGGACTTCATCGTCTTGGTCTGGCCACCCTGAAACCTCTTCCAACCTAGCATGCTACATAGAGGTAAGCGATGACTCGGTATGTAAGGTATATGTCCAAGCCATCTCAGTCGACTAAGGTTCACAACCTCATTAGTTGACTTGAATGTCTTGCTTAGTACCCTTCCCTTCACTGCAACATTGATCACACAGTGATTATACCAGAGTAGTGCTAAGAACCTATGATCAAAACCCTGTGACCGCTTCACGTTTTCTAATTTTAATGGTCATGTCTCACAACCGTACAACAGGACAGAACGGATTGCAGCGCAGTATACTCGTCATATGATAGATAGTCAGATATCTCATCGGCGCTATCGGTGATGCCAATTGACAGGTGCAAAATGGGCCTTCTGTATCCGAGCTAAGATTCCGTAAGTAACCAACCAGTTCATGTTGATGCAGATCCTCAAGTAAATGAAGTGGTCGACAAATTCGACTTCACTTCCTATCATTAAACCGGGAGTATTTGCAGAAGATCAGTCCTGGAGCATCATCTTACATTTGACACGTGGGAAACGTATGCTTATTATAACTACCACATTAGTTTACACCAGCATGTCTCACGTGCTTTGATTACATGTTCTTGTCACCCAGATGTTTGCAGAATTCAGTCTTCGCTGACCATCGCCAAAACTCACGATGAATTCCTTATTTTATGAAGAATAAAACATCGCTCAAAGAAACAGTCCGGAAAAAATGTTGCCAGCCTTTCAAAAAGTACATGATTCATTGCTATTCTAAAAATACATCCATCATTTCAGTCTATATAATCAGAAGACATACAGATATTGCCTTCTGGATATTATATTCACATATGATGGAGACAATAAGTAAATGATTTGATGTCACTTTTTTGTAATTTACCATGGTCGACTGGACTGAATTGATCGGTCATATGGGCTCCTGTGAGGATACCTCGATATTACCTTTACTTTTAGTTTGGTAGCAATGATAGATAGTAGCTAACAGTGGAATCCCAAATGTGCATTTCGTCCTATTTCGGACTTTTCAGCTGGATGTGTCTGCCTCCGAGTGAATTGCAAGCAATCATATAAAAGGTATACTCGTTGCATAAAGAGTGTCCATCGTAACTCAGTGGTCTAGTGGATAACGTTCTAATATTTGAAGCTATCGGTTGCGAGTTCTAGCCTTATTGAGAACAGCACTCGTTGGGAGGCACGTACATCCAGCTAACGATTTAATAATGATTTGAATTACATCATCTTTATCCTGAGCTATAAATCTTCTCCATTCTTTCAGTAAATGATTCAGAAATTAGGCGGAGTTTAATAATCCAAGAAGAAATAGTTGACCTATTTCGATTTGGATCAGTGAAATATATGCTACATCCTACTAAAAATCAACATCTATAGACAGTATAACTGCTGGAGCAAATATGTGTACACTAAAGACTTTTCATTTGATCTAACTATGTGTTTAAGTATGATCAACATATAAGTTAGTAATTTAACGGCTCATTTTACATGGAATTGTAGGCTTTTCATCCAAAGCGCCTAGAATGATAGAAAAATAACGAAGTTGGAAACAAGCGTAAGTGATAACAACATAAAACATGAACAAAAAGAAAAGGTTAATTTTAAAAGGAGGGAGAAAAAACACAGACATTCCAATGCATTACCTGGCTTTGGACATCTTTCAAGATTTCCGCACTAATGCACCTTTCTTTACATTGGAGTAAACATGTTGAAGAATCTGATGGATTTGTATTAGCAGTTTGATAAGAGTTTATCGAAAGTAAACTATTGCCATCATTTTCAGAGATATGTTCAACAGCAACTTTGCGTCTATCAATGAAAAGGGAGAAGGAAACATTAAACGTTACACTGTAGAATGTGAATAGTAGCTTCATTTCAATGAGAAAAAGGCAGCGGAAAAATGTCATCATTTATCAATTAGTTAGACAGACGACAGAGGAGTTCTTCCAGTGTATCGATTAGTTACTGCGAAGTTAGCAGTTTCGACTACATTGCAGCGCGAATAACTCACTGGTACAAAATGTCACACATTCGAGTCTTCGAGAGAACGTGAGCTTAATCAAAGTTACATATACACCTTGCTGATGAGTGATAACAGGAAAGAAATCTAAGTTTAGAGTTTCCTGTGATTTGCATCTAAACAATTGAATTTATCAAATCTATAGAAAAATGTCACCGGATAGTAATTACTTAGTCTGTACTACTTGATTTACACAGTGACTTGAACTGTATTGACCTCCAAAACAATGAATCATGTACTTAATTCATCAAATATATACTTGGCGTTTTATGCATGCTAAAGGTGTACAAATAATACTACGGGGTTGCGTTAGATTAGACAAAGAGTAGGGGTAGCAATATCTATAATGTACAGTAACGATCTAAGAAGCATCTGACTATCGGTCTAAGTAGTGTAGGAATATGTAGATCTTTGCGGTTGGTAGAAGGATCCATAGACTACTGAAATTATGCCAACACAAATGCATCTTTGTCTCATCGTCCCCCGGATCCAAATAATCCTCTTGGGATGCATATTTATTTTCATTTCTACTCATTCTATGTGTCTTACGACATGCGATCCTATTATTTCCGAAAAGTTGGTGCGATATGGAATTACTTCCAGTAATATATTGCTTATTACAATTATCAGTAACGGAACATAGGGCTTCAGTAGCACGTCTCCATTCCACTCTCTTCTCTGAAATCTTTTGAATCTGGCCGCACGACAGCCCACAAGCTCTCATCTCCTCCTCGCACGATCTCCTTCATGTCACCCTAGGACGTCCAACTCGTCGCTTCTCATCTGCCTTCCACTAGAGGGCCTGACGCGTGAAGTCCCCAGCCGGCCTCCTCAGTGTATGCCCAATCCATCTCCACCTCTTTCTTCTGCATCTTTGAGAGGTGATACGCTCTTCGTTGGCTCCTTCCAAGAGCTTGGGACGGACAGGAGAGTGATTCCGCGCCAGTTCCTGCAAACACTTAGTTCTCTTTCTTTTCTTTAAGAGCTTGACAACATAGCCCTTCTTCCCATCAATCGGCAGGTACCTTTCCTTCCTTCCATACCTTCTGCAATACTGGTGTGAGCATGTTCGTTGCTGTCTCTGCATCTGCTTTGAGTACTTCTGGTGGGATCCCATCTGGTCCTGCTGCTTTCCCACATTTCAGCAACTTTATGGCGTTCAAGACTTTGTCTTCATTGGTAGTTCTGTGGCTGGGCTGCTGGTGGTATTTCTAGACGAGTTGCAGGTGGTGCTGGTGGTCGATTCAACAATTTCTAAAGTGGTCAACCCATCGTTTCCTTTGTTTCTCTTCTTTCGTAATTAGATTTCCTTCATCTCCTCATATTGGTTTCATCTCTGTTGATCTCTTCCCTCCCACATAGTAACCTGGTTATTTGATACAATGTCGTCAGGTCTCTGTCTCTCCTACCTGTAGCCTGTTCTGATTCACTTGCCAGTATTTCGTAGAAGTGTCTTTTGTCTTGCCGTGCACTCTTCTTCACTTCTTTGTCCAGTGTAGCTCTTTATACATTGTACTCAGTTCCTCTTCTCCTTGTTCATTCCTGCACTGCACTGGTTTATCTTCTGCTTCACCATCCTCATCTCCCTGCTCTGTCAGCTTCCATGTGTCCGTCAAGATCCACTCCTTATCTTCTTTCTTCTTCCTTCTTAATACGGTTCTGTAGGTTTCTCTCCACATCCCTTTCAAACACCTCCAGTGTTCTTCCACGCCCGATCCTTCAGGGATGTTCCTCGATATCTCCCATTTTGTCTTGATGACTGGCTGCATTGAAGATTTCCGTCGCAGTTTCCTCCTTCAGTTTCCGAGTGTTGTAGTTGAACCGCGGTCTATCACCAGCTTCCTTGAAGGCTTTCAACTTAATTTGGAAGGTTCTTTGCACTAGATAGTGGTGTGAGTGGTGTGAAACTACATCTGCTCCCCTTCTTCATCCTGTATCCAGTTGACTGCATCTCCACTTTCTTTACATTCAGATAAAGTCGATCTGATTTTTAGTGTGTCAGGTGTCTGGTGAAATACATGTCACTGTCTTGTGAATATCCTTGTGTCTTTACACTACCTCCAATCACCAAATCGTTGAATGCATAGAAGTCTGCAAACGCTTCTCCATTCTCATTCATCATTTCATCGACTGCTTCTCCACCCATGATGTATGAGTTCGCTTCCTGTGTTGTCCGCTCCCAGTTTGGCATTCATGTCGCACCACCCATTAGAATTTTGATGTCGCCAACTGCAGTGGAGTATTGTCCACTGCTGATTGTAGTTGTCTGTAGAATTCCTCCTTCTTCTCTTCATCTGCATTATTTGTTGGCGAGTAGCATTTTATGATTAAAACTTCCATTCCTTTTGAGTTGAATCTATCAACTATCATGATCCTGGAGGAGACTAGTTCCCACTACATGAAAGCCTTCGATGCTCTTGAAGGGGACATCATGATAGCCACTCCGAAACTCAGTGTGGTCGTGGTTGTCGTTTGGGTGACAATATTCGAGTAGATTATTGACTCTCCAGTTGACAGTTTCGAGAGTCCACTTCCATTCCATCTGCTTTCGCAGATTCCTAGCCTAGCACTTCTATGCCATCCATACCTTCTCATTTCTTTGACAATCTGGGCAGCCTTAGTAGGTTCATACATGGTGAGGTTAATCCATGTCCCCACGTTTACTCTCGGTTCATCGAGAGAGAAGACAAATCGGCCGACTGGGTTCCCGAAGGCAGGCTTTCACCAACTGGCGTCATTTCGTCTCTCCGATTCCAGTGAGGAATAAGTTTGTTTTTAGTTTTATATTTCGTTTATGCTTTCAAATTTCTTTAGGGGTTGTATTTGTTTTATGGGGTAGGATTGCTAGTCCTATGCCCAACCTTTCCTCTTTATTCAGGCTTAGGACCGGCTATTAACTTGTGAACTAGTTAACCAGCATCTATAGCCATTTGAAATCGCACTCTAAACTACACGTTGGAGCTTTCAATGTCCTCACCTTCTGTCCAACGTACCAGTAAGCTTCGCTAGCCCTCTTAGGCCGTGGTGTAGTGTGTTTGTGAGATACGCTTGCTGAACCTAAGTACGGTTATTCACCTAACCTCACCCAGTCAATGTGGTGAGTCCTCAGACTTTACCCTTCAAGTTTCTGGAACATTTATGGCTAGTCCTCTCGGTGTTGTAGGTGTAACTATAGCATTAAGTACTAGACAGAAAATACACCAATCGACTACACCTTAGTTGACAGTCGCCTGTTCACTGTTTTACTGAACTCCAGAGTGAAAAAAAAACAGTAGTAAAACTCGCCCTTATATATTTTTAATCTCTGCTTATACACCTAATGACCAGCTCGAATGAAGTGGAGGATGAGTTCTATCACAAACCGTTTAACCTCTTACTGAAACGCGTTCAGACGTGATTGTCGTAGTAGGTGATTTCAATGCGAAGGTGGGTAGGCTAAATCAGATGGAAAGGCACTTAGGTGGCACTTTTTGAATCCCAACCGAATGAAGAGGTAACGACGGTCACCTACTACAGCTGTGAACAGATAACGATCTATTTCTGGTCAGTACAAACTTCAGACAAAAAGAAAGACACTGTTTGACGTGACATCCACTGACCTCACTGACTGACTGACAAAATCAACGTAGAACCTCGCACATAGTCCCATCGGCTCAAGTTGACACACTTCACAGTAGTACACAAGAACAAGAACAAGATAGATAGACAAAGACTGATAACAAAATAAAGAAAGTTGTGTGAGAAAAATAAACAATCTGAAGATAAAAGTTATTGCGAATATTCAAGCTTTAATGTCAACGAGTGAATACATCTACGATTCGCATCCATGTCAATAAGAGTCCTTAACCACTCATTCCTTTCGTCTCGGACACCGCAAACAGGCAGTTTGCATCTCCCCCACACAGCTCAAACCAACAGTCAGAGACTTCATCGACTGTTGCTAGGTCTTGGTCTGGTCACACTGAGACTCCTTCCAACCTAATCCAACTTCCTCTAACCCTGTACGTTGAGGTAGGTGGTGGCTTGACATACACAGTACATGTCCAAGCCATTTCAGTTAACTAAGGTTCACAACCTCATCAATCGACTTGCCTGTCTTGCCCAGTACCCATTGTCTGGCCTCAACATTGCTCAAACAGGGATCCCACCAAACGCGAGCTATACTACGAAGACACCTTTGATCAAAACCTTGTTCACGTCTTCTACTTCTAATGATCATGTCTCACAGGCGTACAACAGGACAGTATGGACTGCAAGGCAGTATACTCGTCTTTTGATAGGCATTCAGATATCTCACCAGTGGACACCGCAAATGACGCAAGTTAGCAAATGCCAAACGACTCTTCTACCGTACAATATCTGTTCGTACTGCATTTTATAACTACATCAGTTTTACTAATGAAGAAATTGCAAGTGAACTGTGTCCACAGGCTCGAAAAATTTGTGACAGCTAGGGTCAAGCCAAATTCCAAGGTGTTAGTTATTATATTGGGAAACTGGCTGACTGGAAAACATTAAAGATAAAAGCGAAGTGTTAGAATTTCTGTGAAAGTTTGATTTCTAAGGACAAAATGATCCCAATGTTTTGGTATATCGACTTTTGTACGGAGGCTATGATACTGTTGTGGTTTTTTGTTTATCAAATCTCCATATTATTTTGTTAGTGTTCCATCTTATAATTACCATTTTGTTAACTACATGTATTGACATCTAAATGAGTGTTTGTGTCCCTACAGGGTAAAAAACAATATCCACGACTTTACACCCTATGGAGATGCGGTTGTGTTGA